CCTACCTGCCCACGGGAAGTGGAGGAAGCATTCCTTGTTTTTCTTTGCCTGTGTATGTGACTTCTGCTTTTTCTATGCACAGAATTAGATAATTTCAGAACATTCTGAGCTGGAAAAGACCTATGAGGATCATCAAGTTCAACTTTTCTCAGTCCACAAGTTTTCTATCTTTTACCCTTCCTTATCTTTACGCGCTGGTGGGGGAACCACTGAGCAGCTATGTTGGGCTTGGTTGATGGCTGGGTTTAAAACAACACAGACCTATAAATATATGACAAATTATCTATTTGTGGATTTTTTTTCTAATGCAACAGAGAAATGCCTGAAAAGAATATTAAACTTGAGCTTTGTTCTTCATATACAGTGACAGAAGCACTTATTATTTTGTGAGATTTCGGCAAATCATGTCAGTCAAATGTCTTTCTTGTGGGTGAACACAGACGTAGGCTTATGTACTCTTACATAAGAAAGAAAGCAAGCAAAATGGCCATGGCTGAATAATTATGAAAACAGGAAGCAGTTAGTGCTTCCTCTGGAACTTCTGACTGGTATTTAATCAAAATACAATATTGTCTAACCTATACAGCAGATGTAATAAATAATTAACACATATCCTACTGCATTTTCTGCTTGTGGTTGATTCTATCATACTTTGAGAATGTCATTAATTGTTTCTCACTTTTATTCAATCATGACTCCTGCAATCATGACCAAGTTTGCTCCAGCCATCCTGCTGACTGAGCTCAGGCACAAGTGTATTCATGGGAATTTTAAAGCCTAGAGGAATGGGATGTGAATGGTTGATTATACTCAGCATAATCAATCCAAGGCTTTTAAGGCTTTTCTGTGAATTCTAAGCCTTTAAAGTCTAAAAAAAAAAAATATATATATATATATAGATTATTCTTCTGGTATTAGTTTAGATTTTATGTTGATGCAAGTTTTTGATGTTATTGTACAAACAATATGTGAAATATACCAGAGACTGTGATGTTTTATTCACATAAATAATTGCCCATAGATGGCCTGATCTCTGATGAGGTCTCCATTGCTCTTTCATGGCAGAGATAGATGATAATAAACAGAAAATAAATATTAATGAGGCTAAAAGAAAATTAAGGAAGGGACTACTTTCTCCTCCCCTCCAGTTCACATCAACCACAAATTAACAGTAAAAGAATTACATTTTAAATTAAACAGCACTGTAGCATAATTTCAGTTCAGTTCCATAAAATTGTCAGTTATTCTATGAAACTGTTTGGTACCAATGATTAACATCAGAATGACAATCATTTCAAAATTAATATACAATGTTTCCAATGTAGAAAGTATCCCTTCCCAGGGGTAATACTTGTACAATGACTTGCATCTGGTGGTATAATCAAGGTATGTATTTACTCAGTCCTCTCTTTGAAAACTTCAGTTTCATTAATAGACATTCTCTGTTATCTTTAGAGAGGTCCTCTAATCTAGCATTAACAAGAAATTCCTGTTATATAAAATAAAATCAACAGCAGTCATAATAACAGTAGTAGTAGTAGTAGCAGCAGCAGCAAGAAGAAGAAGAAGAAGAAGAAGAAGAAATGTTTATGTGTTTATAGAAATTGTGATCATCATAATATACATATGAAAATCTGAATTCATAAAAGCTTTTGTAAAACTGGGGAGTTTTAACACAGAGAAATAGGTAGGCAGAAGTGAAAATTTGCATGGAAACTCCCCAATTCCTCTTTATTTCCATTCACTGCAACAATTTCCTGTAATAATTTTTAGTCACAGCTGACTTGATGTGTATAGAGGTTTTAATTATGTTTTCTGCAACACTTCAGTTTTAAAGAGTTTAAAAAAAAAAGCCCCTGCTCTTACTGGAGTACCAATTTCTGGCAGGTTCTCAAGTGATGATTTAGTAACTTACTGATTTACAACAGTAGAGACAGTTACCAATAAAATAAAGATGTTTCATAGCTCCAGTGGAAAAAACTTACAGCAGTACTTGCTTTAATCTTTCATTTAAAACTCACACTTGACCTTATACAATTACTTACTAAGGCTGTGCACTTCAAACTTCTTTCAACTACATTGGAAGTTCAATTCTTTGGGAGGAAGAAAGTATAGAAAACTCTAAGCAGCACTACTACAGAACTTTTAAAATATTTGGAATTTCAGCATCAATTATTACTTCTCTCGGTTGGAAGTGTCAGTGTTCATTTTCAGGGGAAACAAACAAAATAAGACCCTAGAAATAAAATTTTATATTTTAAATGAAAATTTAAAATATTTAAAATATTAAAAATATGTTTGTTAGCTCCCAAAACCTAAGAACTTCAAAATCATTTTATTCAAAAGAAGAATATTGCAATTTCTTTAAGACAGAAATAATTTTATACACATCAATTTTTGATCTAGGAAATTTTCTTCCGACTACTGACTTAGTAACATTACCAATGATACTTCAAGATTACTTTTAAAGGTCTTTAATTTTGTCTTGTCTTACTGGCCACTGACCTTAAAGGCAAAGCAAAATTTAAGTTTTCAGGATCTATTACTACAGAAAGAACCATAAAATTAAAACAAGAAAAAATATAAATATAGAAGGAAAATTAAAAGCTCATCCTATTGTCTTTGATGATTGGGAGCCTACTGGAAAATCTAGCCATCAAAATTCATTCAAGACATTCAAACTTTACCTGATTTTGTAAATGGATTTAAATACAGTAATGCCAATAGTAGAAGCACTTACTGAAAAGGATTTCAATTCCTGGTTAACACCACAAGAAAAAAGGAGTAAAGTAACTTCAGGTAAGCAGATAATGGCTCATGCATGGATCTATCATAATCAGTAATTATGAAAAACCTTTTATCCTAAGGTAATTTTTTTGAATTGTCATACACTAACAAAATTTATACCATAATACTTCAGATGTAAACTGTCACTTCTAAAACAAACTACCTCTCCTACAGAAATGTTCACTTCCAAAACAATATATATAGGGATTTTTTTTTTCCAGATTAGATATTGAAAATAAACAATATGCTTTAGGCTGGCCGAGTTCTCTCCATAGGTTAGTGTTCATTGTTTAATTTAAATAATTTAATTTATTTTTCCCATAATAATGATATCTTGCTTGTAGCACAGGCAGAGTTCTTGTATTTTCAATTCAGATGAGTGTTTTGACATAGTAGTTAGGATTTATTCCTAAATAAAAATACTTTGCATTTATAAATAGTAGCATATACATGAAAACATCTGTTATTCAATTCAACCATTTTACATAGGATTTTGCTCTGTTTTTGAGATGTAGCTGAGAAAGTGAACACGTAGTGAATGTGTTTTATACTTGATTTGTTTCATCCTTCAGAATTCTATATTGGAAAGAAGCTTGAGCCTCTTCCTCAAACCTTGCTTCCGAGATTGTAAGAGTGACCTCTAGTGCTTTACTGCTTTGCTGTGTGATGCAAGCCTTTTTTTGCAATGGTTTTAATATGCCTCCCTGTAAGGAACTGATTTAGTTTCGTGCATAGTGCCAAATGCTATTAATGTGCAATTCAATTATCATGGTCTTGTGAAAATGGATGTATTCATAAACTGTACAATGCAGAATGATGAAGAGAATTAAAGCTGTGACTGGATTGCAGCAGGGTGTTTAACATGAGGAACTTAGTATTCATGTTTAGGGCTACACTATGCACTTGAGTATCAAATGAGATATCATTACTGAATGACAGCACAAGATCATTTTGGTGCTGCAATGTGAATGTCTGGCTCACGGGAGCATGTTTAGTTTACAAACCATCCATATGCAAAACCCTAGGCTATAGATCCATTGAGCGCTTCAAACTTCTCTGCCATTGCTCAAATGTTTCCAGGGAGCTGTCCCCTGCCACTGGGCTGTAAGGTTATTCCTGAACATTCCTCATTGCTTTGGCATGCACTTTCTTCCCACAGAAGCATTACTTCAGCCCTTCCCATTCCTGTGATGCACAACCAGTGCCTTAACAGGAAGGGGAGAAAATATGTTTAATTCAGGTTATGAGCATCTGGCATTTAGGCTACTGCACTACCACAGAACACAAAATGAAATCCTCCAGCTTGTTGAAGCTGAATCAAATGGAACAAGAATAAATCAGTTCTATTACTGAATTACAAAAGCCCTGAAAATTAATTTCTTAATAAGTTTTTTCTTTTTTAATTTAAAGGTAATTAGTTTAAATCAATACTGGAAACAGAATATTTTCAGGTACACATATATTTGTGTGTGTGTCTACGTGTATCTATCTATCTGTCATCTACGTATATATGATGTGCCTCCTAGAGAGCAGATTGTCCTTAAAACTGTTATCATAGTCTTTATTTTGTGATACCACTCTAAGGGCTAACTCATTAAAAAAAAAAAAAACAACCAAACAAAAAACTTTTATTGTAACTGTTAGCATTCTCTTCTGTTGTCATGCATGAACAATACTCCCTAAGCAATCAATGCAGAGACCTTAGAGTCTTGCTACCCACATTTTTCCTTGTTATATTTCTACTGCTTTTGAACTGCACTGTGATTGCCATTCAAGTTGAGTGCCAGCTTAATCCAGGATATGCAGATACCAGCTTTCAAAATTTCCAAATGCTAAAATCCACTACACAATAGAAATATTGCACAATAGAAGTCTGCCAGTAATTTCCACATAAGACACAATTCCTTGGAAAATACTGCACTTCAAAAGAGAAAACAAGATGAAAATACAGCTGAACATTCATCCCTTAGCAAAATGCTGCTTTCAGATACTCTTATACAGTAAGCTTTATAAACAACATTCTGTACACAGACTCATGGCAAAAATCTGTAGAAGAGTTTTAGAAAATTTTTAGGCTAGCAGCTTGATGTCGTGACTTCAAAGCATAAATGTTCCTCTCGAAATTATATTTATTGTAATGCAAAAAAAAAAAAAAAAATCCTGAAGTTTTCAACATACTCTGGATTGAGTTTTAAATCATATGCAATACTTACATTTATTCCCTGCCACTGCCATGTGCTGGCGATGAACAGACAGGAGAAAGAGCAGCTTCAAGAAGATTTCAGTGACAGAATCCATGTTCACGATCATTGAGGCACCCAAAAGAACCAGAGTACTCGGAAACAGCTGCGCTGTACTTCAGTTCTGCTCCTGCCTCCTTCCCACTGCCTCTCTCCGCCTCTGCTCGCAGCGCTTCCCAGGGGCCAGGCACCTCAGCCAAACGCGCTCCGCATCTCCTGCCGCACGCACGCTCACCTCCGCATCTGCTTCTCGGTCTCGCAGCAGCAAGCCCGGAGGAGCAGCAGCGAGAACCTCGCCCCCAGCAGTGCCACGGAGGCACTGGGGGCTCTGCCGGCAGCCGGCTCCGCAGGGCGCTGCTGCTCCGCGGGGCGCTGCTGCTCCGCGGGGCGCTGCTGCCGCTGCCGCTGCGGCTCCGCGCGGCGCGGACAGCCCTGGCGGCGGCGGCGGCACCGAGCGGCCCCGGGGGCGGCGCTGGGCGCTCCGCCTGCCCTGCGCTCCTGCGCCGAGACACCGCTGCCTCTGCGCGCTGCCCAGCCTTTCCCCCGCCTAGCGATTTTTCTTCTTTTTTTTTTTTTTTTTTTTTTACAAGTTGCGAGTTCTGCTCTCTTAAAGGAAAGCGGTTTGCTGCCTTCGCTTGAGGAGCCAGTGATTGGCTGCCCCTCTGGAAAAGACACCACCACTGTCCCTGTAGGGCTTTATTAATGCTGGCATTAAAGGATTACATTCTCAGCTCTTAAGAGTAAACACATAAACATAATATAAACGTATGATTGTACCTGTCTTTCCCAAGATACTTTTGCCCCCAAATACCACGTAGCGCATTTTGCTTCCTATACTTTCACAAAGTATATGAAGTAAATCCTCCTATTACTTGTGTTTGGGAAATAGCTTCATTTGAGAAAGAACTTCAGAGGAATTTTAAGTCATTATATTCAAACTATATCCTAAAAGTGTATGGTTTTGTTTTGGGGTTTTGTTTGGTTTTTCTGTTTGTTTGCCTGTGTTTGCTTTGCTTTTTTTGCAAAACGGTCTGAGTTACTGTATATGCTAACTTTAGAGACATTATTTCTCAAGTGTGAGAAATCTAATTGTGTATTAGCAAACTCATGACATTAGTGAGGGTAAAAGCTGCATTAAAGGACCACATCAACCACTGCTGCTTCTGCAGTGTTCATGCTGTATGGACTGTCTATGTTTTGGCAGAAATCACAATGACAGTATAAACCTGCATGCCTTATGACTGTGATGTATATCAAAAGCAGACTTAGCATTTGTATATTTAGTCTAGTGGTCCAAATTTTGTCTTCCTACTTCATTTGAGCTATCTACCAGCTCCTGTATACCAACGGGATTTTTCATCCTAAGTGATACCGATGTCTGTGGGTTAGACACAAGGTATAATGTTACTGAGTGTTCCCTCTTCTGTGTTGCAGAAACTACAGAATTTTCTGCAATTTGCTATGTAGAACTGTTTGGTGTCAAGAATAACTGTGAGATAGAGACAAAACACGAATTAAGCTTCTGAATTTTTGTTGATTATTTAACTCCATTTCCTCATCCGCTGAAGGATACTCTTATTCATCTACACAAGTAAAGAGTAAGATGTGTTCTGGTTTTATGCTACCAAAGCCAAACTGTGTTAGGTGTTGCAAAAATGTATTTCAGCTCAGCCAAAACAACTAAAAATAAAAGGCAGGTTTTTGTTATATCCTTTCAAAAGTAGCAAATCAGCATGATTGAGACAAAGAGGCCAATTTCTAAATTGCCATATTGGGTAGAAATTTTCAAGTGAAGTTAACAATCTATTATGCAGCTGGCCTTCCACTTCTCCATGTCAACTTTTATTTGAACAAAAATGCGTGAAGAAACTATATTAAAGATTATGTGAATCATAACCTGCTTTCCAGCTCTCCTAAATCAACCTTTAAATTCTACATTCTGTTTCCAGAGTTTAATACAACCATAGAGTCACTGTCCAGAAGCTCGATTTCTTTGTTATATAGTTCCTTGAGTTAATATTGACCTTCTAACTAAATTAATATGAGTATTAAAGTGTTCCATGTGCTGCATCCCATCTCTAAAGAATATCCCATGAGATGGTCCTTGACTCTGCAGCTAGACAAAATTTCATGCTTAAAAATAGGACAAATATCACATAAAATCTTGGCAAGGACTTTCAATGTAATGATGTTCTTTAGGATTAGTTCTAAGATCCCCAGGGCTTTGAATCAGAAAGAATTATTATTCTGGTAATGTAATGCAAATTCAGTAAAAAGGCCAATGCCATTGTGGGTAAATATTTGTCTTATAAAATAGCTTATAGTCATAAAAAAGGAACATCTAACAGACAAAGGTCATAGAATTTTTTTTTTTTTTTTGACTGTATTGCATGCATCTATACACATGGATATAATGTACTTTTATAATTATGGAAAAGCCAGTTTAGAATAAAATGGTATGCCAAAACATGTACATACCTTTCTGTTTGGACAGATAGAATTACAGAAGTCTATACAGTATGTATCTGGAATATCAAGATAATCATCTATTTATCCAGGGATGGATTTATGGTATCTGGCACTGGTAAAGTGCATAAAATAGCACAGCTTGACTCACACAGACTATTGCAACCTCCTCTTTTCTTCTGCATCATATCTTTCTCCTGCATCCGTGAAATATTTCTGCTCACATAATCGTATCTCTGTATGCCAGCATCTTGTTTGCCATTTCTCTTCCTTACAGCGTCCAGATTTTTCACTAACTTCTGAGCTCCTCTTTCTGGAACTCATACAAGTCTCTCTGTTTCTTACAAGCCTATTTTACTATTGTAATTTTTAAATTTCCCCCACTCTGTTTTGTTTTTCTTCTCATATCTTTCTTTTGAAATTTCCCCCAAACACCAAAAAACTTATTAATTTTATTTGCCTTTGAAATGCAACATTATGACGACTTGATTTGATAGAGAATCTTTCCCAACTGATCTTCATATATGTAGTCTATTTAGAAAGACTGCAAATTCCCCAGAAGAATTGTGTCTTCTCAGAAAATAATCCTTACAGATAAAACATCTGCGAAGTTTAGTTGTTCAAAACTTGAATTAGTTGATCTGGGTATTGCCAGACTTCATTTACAAATGAAGGCCGGCAATTCACCTGGTAGTGAAGTCCTTTTTCTAGCAGACAAAAACTAAATTATTCCTCTTTAAATTATTTACACTGTGACATTTTGTCTATAAAGAAGAAACACTTTTAAATTCACGCTAACCATACTCCTGGTATTATTGCGATCAGCTTATTAATTGTAAACCAATTTTAAATGGCTTACAATTAATAAGCAGATTGCTTTTATATAACTTTATTTATTATAAATAAATAAATAAATATATATCACTTTTATTATAACTTTAAAAAGGACAGTTATAAGCACTTTCTTCTGCTCTGGTGCAAAATCCACTTTACAACAGGACAATTGTTTTCAGTGTATCACAGTTGTTCATTACACATTATTTAATAACAACAAAATAATAATTTGGTTGCAAAGCACAAAAATAGAAGTATGAAAAGTCAATGGAACACATTCTGGCTGACTGAGAATATTTGTTTTATTACTTCCCAGTAAATTCCTTTCAAAGACATCAACCAAATTAGAAATTAGCTATTCACTTACTCCCTTCTTCACCTCACCCTTCACTAATTCAGCTCCATCAAGCTCACATTTACTATCCAAGTAACAGTGACACTGCAACTATATTTCAGGAGACTGGAAACAAGGATAAAAATTTTAAACGTTTATGTTCATCTTTTCCTACTTAGTTTTCTTGGTACCCTCATCTGCATCATGGCCTTGGTTAACCCTCCTTCCAGTGCCACCTGCTGCAGCTGTATTGGCATTACAGGTTTCTCTTTACAGCATCTAGTCGTATAATGCAGCTGGAGAATGTGTCTTTTTAATGCAATAGAACTCTTTCATGATCACGTAAAATCTTCCCAGTACTATTCCCAGCCCTGCAGAAAAGCACTGCTGTAATTGTCTGCAGAGACTGCAGAGAGCAGAAACGCTCAAAGACAAATATAAATCAAAAAAAAAAAAAAAAGAGAAACACATAATGCTAGGTACACTAATAGTGATATTTGCAATGTTTCTAAGCCATTTTTAAAGAAATAAATAATTCTTATATCCACCTTAAATTGCTACATGTATTTTTTAAATCATAGATCTCTATATAGTAGGTATGACATAGAGTAAAAATTGATTTTCAGAAATAAGAATAGCGTAACTACTAGTCTTAACAATGTTTTGCATTTCTTGTTTTTGTTTTGGTTTGTTATTTTCCACTAGGGTCAGGATAGCACAGTTTGTCTTATTGCAAAGCTGAAAATTTTCTTTCAGGCTGTATTTGTTAAAAGGGGAGGGGACAGAAGCCATCTGTGTATGGCTCATTTTACTGCTTACTGCAACTACACTTATTGCACCTACACTAATGACTGCATTTAGGACTTAAAACATTTTTTTTTTTTCTCAGACGAGACACAGAACACACAGAGCAGACATGGCTCCATGCACCTACAGAAGAATTCATGTCTTTAGCACTGCTGTGAATCTATTTTGAATGTTGTAACAAGACACATGGCTACACAGAGAGTTCTTTGGCTGCTACTCTCTGACCATTCAGGTTTTTCACCTGAAAGGGTCCTGTGAAAATCCTAGGGACAGCTTTCTTTCAGGGTTTGTGAAAATGTTTCTTGTTAGCCCTTTTCATTTCATAGACAAGAATTTTATTTTTTCCATCATAAACACTCTTTGTATTGTGCCTCCCAACACAGAAAATAAATACAGGGTTTGGAAAATGAACTTATACACAGAATCATGGAATCTTTAAGGTTCAAAAAGGCCCCTAAGATGATCATGTCCAACCTCAGTACTGACATCTATGCTATTAAATCATGTTCACAAGCACCACATCTACATGGCCCCTAAATTCTTTCAGGTATGGTCACTCCATGATTCCCTACAAAGTCGGTTACACTGACTACTCTTTCAGTCAATAATTATTCTTAATATCCAGTCTAAATCCCCCTTACACAATTTGAGGCCATTTCCTTCTTTCCTGTCTCTGATTGTCTGGGAAAGAAGCTGATGCCTACCTGGCTGCACCTTCCTTTCAGGTGGTTGTAGAGAGTGGTAAGGTCTCACCTGAGTGAGACTAAACACCCCCAGCTCCCTCAGGTGCTTTTCACAGGATGCTCCAGACCCTTCACCAGCTCCACTGCCCTTCTCTGTACTTGCTCCAGCACCTCAATGTCTTGTTGACTCGAGGGGTCCAGAACTGAACACAAAATTCGAGGTGTGGCCTCACCAGTGCCGAGTACAGGGTGACAGTCACTGCCCTGT